GAGAATAAAAGAAGAAGGAAAGGACTTATTTGTACAAGAATAGTTATAGGAGCACTTTTGTCTTAGAATATAAGTAGAAACAAAGAAGGTATCCATTTATTAAGGAATAGTTTAGCAAATTATGGTATGTGAATGTAATGGAATATAATTATGCTATAAGAAATGACAAGTAGATGGATTCACTGAAACATGGGAAGATATGCATTTGGGCAATTATTACAATACTGTAAAGGAAAATAACCTTGAAGACTTAAGAACTCTGATCAATGTAATGAGGAAACTGATATTAATCATGATTCCCACTTATTATCAGAGAGCTGATGGATGAAAGCTACAAAATAAGACATACATTTTTAGACACAAATATGTAGATTTGTGCTGCTTGACTAGTCTTATGTGTGCGTGTTTTTTTTTAATAAGAGAGGGCTCTTTTTGGAAATGAGAGAATTACAGAGGGGAGTGTGAGGGGTTGTGATTTTTAAAAAAGAAAGAAATGAGAGTCAATGAAAAAAATACACACAGGAGAGCATAAGGAAGTACAGAAGGGGAATCAGACATATAGAGCTGTGTAGGTATCAAAGTATTAGATTTAATAACATTCTTTTAAAAACAAGCTCTATGTAATAGAAATTCATGATTTCATATACAATCGTCTTTTTCTGTTTTCCTTGTATATGGATATGTTCATGTTTATTGATGTTTCCTTCTGCTCCCACTCAGAGTGAATGGCTGATGCAATCCCCACAAAGTCTTTGGGGTAGACACAGACATTCTATGCAGGCTCATATGGACTGGATTTATTGGTCAGTCCCACATTACATATAAAAAAAAAATCTTGCTCTGCCGCTTACTAGCTGTGTCACCTTGGGCAAATCACTTAACTTGTCTGGGTCTCAGTTTCCTTATCTGTTGGGCTCTAAGGTACCTGTAGCTCAAAACCTAATCCACAATATTATGACTTGAGGAGCAGTAAGAGGCAGGCAAAAAAAAAAAAACCCCAAAACCAAAACAAAACAAAAAACCCTGAAAAATATACCCTCAATTAGCACGGGAAATAGTATATTCCACATTCCTGTGACTGATTTTTCTCTCCCATCAGATATTCAGTTTTCTGAATGTTCCCTGTGCTGAGGTTGAGATGCATCTTTCTTTCAGACACATTCTTCCCAGGCATCCCATTAAAACAAGGTCTCCCTCCACAGGGTGGAGACTGCTATACCTGCAGACCAGCCAGTGAAGCTAGAAAGCTTTCAATGAGAGTGAACTTTGCCCTTCTAGCTGATGGGCAAGGCTGCAATTTCATCATTTAAATCTAATTGCTGTGAATATCCCCTATCATTCTGAAGGTCCAATTAAAAAAGAAAATTCTGGTTCTATTTAGAAACAGAGCATGAAATTGTGAGCATCAGATTTATCTGTATTTCGATATTTATTATGGGATCGTGTATTCTAACATGACAGAGTAATTGGAAATTCTGTAATACGTTCCAGCTCACTATTAAAGTGTTTAGTTGTTTTTTTTTAAAAAGGTCTTAATGTGTTTTTATAGACTTATGTTATATGGTACCCTCCATAATATGAGAAAAGGACCCAGACAGACTTGTCTGAGTTATGATCAGGAAAGACCTAATATCACAGGCAAATGTAAGCTTTGCATTGTGTTCGAACCTAAGTATCCCATTACAAGAACAGTGAACTGTATTATGTAGAACAATATGGGCTTTTCCTCCCACACTGAGTCGGTTCCTTGTCAGGTTTACAGATTTCTGTAATATATTTCCAATTTTCTCCCTCATCCCTGAAGTCTCCTGTTTTATGTAGGAGTCAAAGGCTTCCAAACATCTCTGAGAAAAGTCATTCTTTCCAAAACTCTTGGCATAGTGTAGAACACTCACTTTGGGCTCCTATTTTTGCATTTGCCTTTTTTTTTAATAAAAGTATTATAAAAGTCATGAGAGGAAGCTGGCTCCTGACGTAACCATGCTCCCTGCTACAGGGGGCTGGCTGCATCATATCTCTCCACACTTTGAGAGGAACGTGGGTTTTCGCAATAGAACTTTTTGGCCTTTATAGGGGTGATAAGATCATTTAGCCTCCTGGGAGTCTGACCAGAGAAAGCAATATTGGCTGCCTATCTTCATTTGGTTTATCACTTTAAAAAATGCAGAAAAGAAAGAACCATAAAATGGACTTTGGAGAAAAATCATCCCTTTGAGAGTGGATAAGAAATGGCAATTTTTCTCTCTTTATGCATATATTAAGGGTCACTGAATGAATGAATGAATGAACAAATGAATGAATGAAAAGCATGTATGGTTCGTTATGTGTGAAGTACTGCCAAAGACTAAAGTTTTTCCAGGTGGATAGGGAAACAATGAGGAAATACTGCTCAAAAATCTCAAAGCCAGTCCCCTAAAATCTTTGTCCTTCCCCCTCTTTCCAAAGAACAGTTATTATGCAGTAGTACCTTAGGAAGGAAAACAAAGTTTGAAAGAGTATCTGATTTGTTTCTCTAACTAGGAGAGGCCACACCTAGATCATACCACATTGAGTTTCAACTCAACTTCCAGCCACCAAATAAAAATATCTAGAATTGTATAATGGAATGAGCACTGAAACTGGGAGTTCAGGAAACATGGGTTCTACTCCTATCACTGCTATTAACTCTCTCTGTGTCCTAGTTAAAGTCACTCCATTTCTTTGGACTTCATTTTCTTCTATATACATGTATGTGTGTGTGCACATATGTGTTGGATAAACTAGACTTTCTATAAGATCATGGACTCTGGAGTTATAAAGAGTTTAGAGGTCATTTAGAGCAGGGGTCCCTAACCTGGGATCCATGAATTTTTTTGCAAATATTTTGATAATTGTATTTCAATATAATTGGTTTCCTTTCTAATCCCATGTATTCTGTTTTATGCATTTAAAATCATTCTTCTGAAAAGTGAGCCACAGGCTTTACCAGAGTACCCAAGGCATCCATGACACAAAGAAGGTGAAAAACCCTTGTTCTTTTTATATTGTTAATTTTATGGAATAAAACAAGCATTTCCATAACATAGTATAATAAAAAATAAAAGATAATTGCACATGAAACTGTAAATCTACTATATATAACTTGCTACTCCTTTTAAATACACAACAAAGTTATTATGTAAATTTCTTTTTTTTCTTCCCTTCTCCCCCACCTTAGCCAAATGGGTGCATATATATATAATATATATATATATGTACATATATATATATGTGTACATATATATATATATGTACATATATATACACATACACACATATATCTATACACACATATATATGTAAAGTTATTCTATGCATGCTTTAATTTATCATTTCTTTCTTTTGATACAGATATTGTCTTTCTTCATATAGTTAATTTGGGTATTTATAACAGTCATTTTCTTTTTCAATCTCCTTATTCAACTGTTGGGAACACTGGGACCCAGAGAAGAAGTGAGTTGTCCAAAGTTATCTACTTAATTAGAAGCCAGCCAAGGTTAGAACCCAAAGGTACTGACTCCTTTCCCAATGCCGCTTCCCAATGTTCCAGTCCTTTCATGTGCTAAAATCCCATCTTCCTAAGTGTCTGGTACAGTGGAAAGCAATTCAAATAGGACTCACAAGGCCTAGATTTGAGTCTTGGCTCTGTTATTACCTATATGATTTTGGGCAAATCTCTTCATCTTTCAAAGGGCCTTAGTTCCTCAGCTATAGAACTGAAAAGATTGCACTAGATGGTCTCCAATATAGAGATCTATGATCTCTATAGGGAATAGCTACATTCTTTACAGCTATATAGCTACCTTAGCAAAAAAAAAAAAAAATTTACTGAGAGTGATTCCTGAATCACTTAATTTTCTTGGATTATATTTGCAGGCCTAAATTTTTGGTGCAGTGCTTGTTAGGGAAAGTAGATTTTATGTAATATAGCCTCCCATGACTTCTGTTAAAGCCCCATAGTGATGGAGGCTCCCCAACTAAGTGAGTATCTGCCTGGTGACAGAGGTATTAAATGCCTACATTAAATTTAAGTTAGAATTCACATTGGGTTTTTAGAGAGTTTCTTAAAATTATTTGCATCTGAAATATAAATTCAGAAACAATTTTTTTGGGAGGTGGGGGGTGGATAGAAAAGGAATGTAATCAAGGGGAGAGAGAAATTAATGGAAGCTCCTGCTGAAAAGATCAGAAGCCCCAGACAGCACAACTAAAATATTGATGCCAGTCCTGTAAGGGTTATTACTTTTGATCTCCATTAAAACCAATGGAACGAAATTTTGGGGAGTGAATAGAGGTGGGGAGTTGGGAGGGTGATGTTGCTCAGATGGGTACTACAATTTGAATTTGCCATGTAAGTTAATACTTTATGTTTACAGCCTGAACAGACAGGGTGGTTGGTGGCTCAGAATCTCTACAGGATTCCTGTGCCAGCCAACGAAAGCAGACATTCATTAGAGCAAAATGTAGATTTTTGTTTCTTGGCATCTGATGCACACTCTTTCCTTGGAAAGAAACTTCAATTTGGCCAAAAGTGTGAAAGCTACAATAAAAGCATTAGGAACATGAATTTCATCTGGTCTGTGCCATGCCCACCTTTTTCTTTCCTCCCTTTGCGACGGGGTTAAGGCTTTGGGTACTGGGGGAACAAAGATGGGGAATCTGAGGGCAACTAGGACTGCCAAACTCCATCGTTTCCTTTGGCTTTCCATTCTCATTTTGTTCTGTCCTAAGACAACTGAACCCAATCCCAAGCAATGATGACTGTTTTGCCCCAGAGGATAGGTAGGACAGGGCTGGGCTCTGAGCAATGGCAGCTGTTGAAGACATTGGCATTAACTCCTAGCTCTCCATAGGTGTTCTGGGTGCTGTACCAATCATCTTTCCCCAAGCAAAAAGCACAGTCATTACTTCCAGAGCAGAGAGAGGAGAGAACTCCCTCTTCTCCCTTATGTTTCATTCTGTTTGTTTCTTTTGTTCAATAGACTGGAAAGACTATGACGGCAGAGAGCCCAGACACAAGGGACAGAATGAAGCTTTGGAGCGTCTGCTACAGCAGATCCGGGCTGCTCATCAGCATTACAGTTGCCGGGGTAAGGATAAAAATCTGTGTGGTAGGGCATCAGCTGAGGTCTCAGTGGCGCCTGTAATTTTAGCAGTTTCCTAACTGGGTCATACCTTCTCATTCATCAGGGAGAGAAAGATATTAATATTGGTACATCTGGAATCACTTTACAGCACTATCTTGCTTTAACCCTTAAGATGAGCCTCCCCCCCACCCCCATTCCTCCTTCACCCCCTCCTTTCCTCCCTCTGTCTCTCCCCTTTCTCCATAGGAACAATTTAAAAACAAGCAGAGAAAGAGGGAAAAAAATGCTTTAAGTTTCCTCCCGGTTAAATGTGTCTCCTGCAGAAATCATCAGTGGAGTCTAGGGGTTTGGGGTACACAAGAGGAATGGCTTGGGAAGAAATGAGAGAACTTTGCCATGTCCCAAAGCTGCTCCCTGGTATCTCCATTGGGAGCTTTACTAGTGGATTGGCTCTCTTGCCTCTCCACCAACTGGACAGAAATATTGACTTTGAGATTCACCCTAGACATGCCTCAAGCCAGCGATAAACATAGCTTGAATCTTTCAACTGCAGAGCCAACTTATACCTGGGGATTTCATAATTCATAGGAATTGAGATCAAAGGGACCTAAGGAGGTATCTAGTCCAGGGGTTCTTAACCTGGAGTCCATGGATGCCCAAGGGATATGTGGGTGAATTTCAGGGAATCAGTCTGTGGACTTGCAGGTGGGGAAATTACCCCTTTATTTTCACTAACTAAAATTAACATTTCCTTCCATTATGAATGCTAACAGCTTTATTCTGAGAAAGGATCCATAGTTTTCACCACACTGACATAACAATCCATGACACACACCCAAAAAATTTATCAGTCAATAAGTATTAAGTACCTATTATGCACCTAGTGTTGTGCAAAGCTCTGGGGATACAAAAGAAGGCAAAAGGTAGCCTCTGCTCTCAAGAAGCTCACACTCTAATGGAGGAGAAAACACGCGTACAATTGCATATGATTGAGCTATTGACAGGATAAATTGGAAATAACCAATAGAGGGAAGGCAGTAGAATTAAGGGGGACTGGGAGAAAAAAAGGTTTAAGAATTCTCAGGAATCCGATGTTTTTCATTTTGTAAAAAATTCTGAGGCCCACTGAGGTTAAGTGACTTGCCCAAGTTCACATGGGTAGCAAGTAATAATAGCCAATGATACCTGGTATTTATATTTATATAGGGCTTTAAGGGTCATAAAGTACTTTGCAAATGTTTTCTCAGATTATTCTCACAGCAACCCTGGGAAGAGGTCATATTATTATCCCCATTTTATAGATAAGCAAACTGAGGCTAAGAATGGTTATGTGACTTGCCCAGAGTCACACAACTAATAAGTGTCTGAGGGTGGATTTGAACTCATCTTCCTGACTCCAGGCAGTGAGGTGGTACAGTAGAAAAGGTACCTGACCTGGAGACAGGAAAACCTGAGTTCGAATCTTACCTCAGATACTGACTATCCATGTGACCTTAGACAAGTCACTTAACTCTATTTGCCTCAGTTTCTTCATCTGTAAAGTGAGCTGGAGAAGGAAATGGCAAACTACTCCAGTATCATTACCAAGAAAACCCCCAAATGGGGTCACAAAAGAGTCAAACACAGCTGAAATGACTCAACAACAACAACTTTCCGTCTCCGAGTCCATCGCTCTACCCACTGCACCACCCAGCTACTTGAAGTTAACTGAGAGAAACAGAATTAGAACTCCAGTATCTGACTCCCAAGCCAGTGTTCTCTTCTGGCTGGAGAAGCTCTTAGTAAGGTCCTTCTCTTAGTGGGCTGCTCAGATAGGATCAGGTCAGGTTTCCAATATGGGTAATGATTCGTGGCAGAAGCACTTAGCTTTATTTGCAGGAATCAAGCTGCCATAACATTTTCATCTTCCATGCTCTATCACCCATGGCACTCTCAGCTGAGGGGAGCTCAGAAGCAGCAGGGCCATGCTCTGAAATCCATGTCTGAAACCAAAGAATGTTCACTGCCTTTAGATCAAATACAAACAAGGCAGACCAAAGATTAACAAAAACTGTATCGTCGTCCCAGCATAGTTATGGCAACAAACACATTCTGACATTCCAGCTCCAACTGGAAACAGGCTTTGCCCACCCCCAAATGATTATCTTTTCACAGGCAGGGCCTCAGTCAACATCAGTGTATTCAGAAGACGTTTGAGAGTCAACAGTAGACAGAGGGTTCACCCCCAAGCATCCAGGACCACAGACAGCTGTGTATGGACCTCATAACTGAACACAGTGCACTTCATCTCTCTCTCTTCACCAGTTTCCTTATCTGGAAAATGAGAGAGGTTGGGTTGTATTACCTGTGAGGTGCTTTTCTTCAAGTTTATCAACCTAGGATCTCGTGACAGAGATTTGTGAACCAGTCTATGAATTATCAAGACCTCCTTCTACAATGTAGAAAGAATACCAGCATAGGAATCAGAAAGCCCTCTCTCTGCCAATTTATAGCCATATGAACTTGGGCAAGTCATTTAACTATGCTAGTATAAAAGGGAAGAATAAAAATCTACCCTGCCTGCAGGGTAGCTAGGTGGCACAGTGGGTAGAGCTCCTAGAGTCAGGAAGACTCATCTTTGTGAATTCAAATCCTCCTTCAGACACTTACTTGCATGGCTCTGGGCAAATCACTTGACCTGTTTGCCTCAATTCTTCAGCTATAAAATGAGAGAAATGGAAAAGGAATTGGCAAACCACTCCAGTTTCTTTGTATATATACCTATTTGTGTCTAATGACAGCCATGGGGGGAGAGGGGGTGGAATTTACAAGATAATTTTGTTGTATATTTGAAAGGAATAACAAGTTATACATAGTAGATTTACAATTTCATATGCAATCATCTTTTTTATTGTACTATGTTATGGAAATGCTTGTTTTATTCCATAATTTCAAAAGAAAATTTAAAGAAAAGAAAAAAGAAAATCCTAAATGGTTGTAGAGTAGAATTGGACACAACTGAACCACAGCTGAACAACGACAACACCCTGCCTTACCTCCAGGGCTATAACTAGGTGCTCCTGTGCCTGAGGCAAGTACCACAAACTTGCCATTCAGGACTCAAGGCCCGTGGGCTAACACCCTATAGAGAGGAAGCAAGAGGCAGGGTGAGGCAGGGGAAGAAGCAAAACTATTCCCGCTAACAAGGTACTAAGCTTTGCATTTCCTAAGGCTCCAAAGGGACTACAAGTATCCTCCGTGAGTCTAAATTTGGTGCCCTCTAAACTCAGTTCCCTGGGTAAAGCCCCAATAGCTCTGCCCTGGGTAGAATGCTGCTTACTTCACACAGTGAGGATCGCATCAAGAAATGTCTGCCAAAGCATTATTACTATAAAATTCTATATAAGTGGGAAAGAGCCACTTAATAATCATAAGCGCAATTTATATCCATATGTTGCTTCATAGTTTATAAAACACTTTCCTCAGAATAGTTCTATGAGGTTATATAGTACAAGCATTATTATTCCCATTTTGTGAATGACTTGAGAGACAAAACAATTTTTCTATGGGTACATGACTATTAAGTATCAAGATTTAATCCCAGATATTTGGACTCCAAGTCAAGTTTTCTTTCCACTGTATTATAAAGCCTCTAATATATAAGAATTCCTCCCTGCTGTTGCCCGCTGCTTTTCATAGAATCATAAAACCATAAGACTTAAGAAAAAGCTTTCAGTTCAACCTTCTCATTTTACAAAGGTATAAACTGAGGCCAGGAGAAGGAGAGTGATTTGACATTCTTGAGTGTTATTACCCTGCTCACTGTTTATTAGGATCTCATGGCAGAGGTTCATGAACCAGTTGGTCAGTCATCAAGACCTCCTTCTACAATGTGGAAAGAATAGCAGCCTAAGAGTCAGAATGCCCTCTCTATGCCAATTAATAGTCATATGACCTTGGGCAAGTCATTTAGCTTTGCTGTATATGTGTAAAATGGGAAAAATAAAAACCTACCCTGCCTGCAGGGTAGCTAGATGGCACAGTGGGTAGAGTGTGTCACACAGTTAAGCAAAGAAAAAAAAAGAGTATAACCAAACCAGATCAAGCCTTCTTACTTGTAAACAGTTTTGTTTGTTGTTGTTAAGGCATTTTTTGGTTGTGTCTGACTCTTCATGACACTTTTTGGAGTTTTCTTGGCACAGATACTGGAGTGATTTACCATTTCCTTCTCCAGCTTATTTTATAGATGAGGAAACCAAGGCAAACAGGGTTGAGTAACTTTCCCAGAGTCACACAGCTTCTAAGTGTCTGAAGTCACATTTGAACTCTGGTCCTCCTGACTTCAGACCTGGCACTCTATCCACAGCACCACCTAGCTGCCCTGTAATCAGTTTGGGGAATTTTGATAAAGACTTTGATCTCTACCAGAGAGAGAAATAGTAAGATATTGACTCTAATGATAAGTCAAATTATGTGTGGAATTTGATGACCCTTTTTCTCACTGTAACCTCTTAACCATGGATAATCAGCAGTGAATTAATGAATCTACTATTCCCACTCAACTTCCCCCCTGTAGATCCTTCTCCCTGAAGGAAGTAGACAGTATAAGCCTAAGCAGTAAAGATTTAGGTCCCTGCATAACCTTAGGCAAGTCATTTAGCTGTTCCGAGCCTCAGTTTACTCATCTATAAGACGATGGAGTTGGAGAAGTTAGCCTCTGAGGACCCTGCCAGTTCTAGGAAGCTAGGTGGTGTATTGGACAAAGCACTGAACCTGGAGTCAAGAAGAGCTGAATTCAAATTTGGTCTCAGACACTCACTAACTATGTGACCCTGGGCAAGTCACTTGCTCCCTAAGATGGAAATAATAATATCACCAGGCTCCCAGAGGATCAAATGAGGATATTTATAAAGTGATTTGCATAGTACCTGGCACATACTACGTGGCTATATAAATGCTAGCTGCTGTTGTTGTTATTGTTGTTATCCTGCTATCTGAGGCATGATCTGTGAAAGAAATTCCTG